TATCAATGGCTGGGTGACGCTTGGTGTGGAGTATGGAGTAGAACTCCCTGTTCGAAAAAAGCGACAGGCACTGCGGAAAAAGGCAGTGAGGTTTAGTTAGAAGCGCTCGATTAAATAGAGGAAAGTAAATGAAGCCATGCGATTTTTCCTAGTTTTATTCCAACAGCTTCCGTTTCTTGTCCTTAGCGACCTCTTGAAGGAGGAATTTGCGATAAGATGAAGGTCGAAGAAGGAGTACCATCTAGTTGAAAGACCGACGAACCTCCTGAAGGTGCGGACTGACGCGCACTTGGCAGCGGAGATGTGACTCGGTGACCTAGCAGGACTCATTGTTGGCGTCTGTCCTGCCTTGATAGCTGTTACCACTGCATTTTTACATGCTCGCAACGAACGCGGTGTCTGCGCCGTCTCGTACGACGTGTTTTCTCCCATATGCTCTCTCTTTGTCGTGCCGATCACACAAGAAACCAGGCTCTTGATTTTGATGATTCCTACGACTACTTTTGCTTTTTTCCTCGCTGGCAATCCTCTTCAAATCCCTTGTTCCATTTTTGAGCGATATTGCACATCATGGTAGAGACCCGCGCCTTTGAAGGGAGCGGTCACGAAAATTCCATTAGGGATGATAAATTTATAAAGAGGACCGCGTAGAAGGAATGATAAATTTATAAAGAGGACCGCGTAGAAGTCTTTCTCAATGAGGCGATAAGCGACGCTTCAGGGGCAATGGCGCCATATCAGTGGTGTGATGAGGCGCTGAAACCCACTTCCGATGTGCAGCACCACTACGTATCAGACGTGGAAGGGGTTGCAACGGCTGCATTCTCAATACGTACCGCTGTCGTTAGTGTCCAGTTTTTATCTTGGGAAGCACCTTATATCAGCAGCAGTCTTTTTCTCTTATCGTATCGTATCTTCCGTGGGGTTACGCTCGTCCAACCATTTACCTATCATCCTCTTTCATTTCTCTATGTTTTGAAGGAAATATCAATTGTGAAGACCTGACAACATTGCAACCCCGTAGCGCTGTATGGCATCAGGGACGGTAGTAAACTAGCCAAACCTGCACATTAGCGGGCATATTCAATGAGCACGTAATGTGGAGGTGCAAGTTTTCCCGATGATGATGGAAATCGCATCTATGGGACCTAATAGACATATTTATGAAACTCTGAAGAAAGCTTCCCAGGTGAGCTGCAGCTCCCTGGAAAGCTTCCCATGGTGGTTCCTTGCTACGCGCAGCCGTAAAAGGCGCAGGAAGATCTCGCTAACAGAAAACAGGACGCGGAGGGGTGAAGGACAATGTGTTTAGAGAAACGAAGGTGACGCCCGTTACGCGCAGAAAAGTCCTTCAGAAGACTTTTTGGAGTAGGCCAACTTCAAACTAGCAGGTGCATGGGTCTAAATACAGTATTGGAAAGGGAAAGGGAGGCAGGCATTGATTCGTCGGTGGTGTAGCGCCTGCAGTCTATGTTGGTGTTGGATCAGTCGCGGGATCAATACTGCGACTACCAGAAGGTTTGCAACCTTCGTAGGTTATCCCTTTTTCTTCACAACCCTTGCACCGCCGCTAAGAAAGGCTTCCTAGTGCACTGGTAGCGATGTCGCTCATGGAACGGTGCACCGAAAGTTCCAACCCGTGTGCGGTGCAAGGTTTCTATGCAATGTAGGGCTCACCACTACTATATGGCAAATTACCACGGCTCGATAGAAACGTTTCACGCTGCCGCTGTCAAGGTTGCTGCATCTACACCGCCTGTAGTCTGAGATTTGCAAACAACATCCGTTGCTTTTCTGTTGTCAAGACCTCATCCGATGCTTTGGTCGAGTGATCCCTGGTGCACTGACAAAAGCCCGCTTTTGAGTCCTGTCATCCACGGGTCAAGTCCGAAGTGCTCAAGTTTGTGCTGGGTAAACTAAGCCGAGGCTGGCGGTTCAGAAGGGTCATACCCCATGTTTCCACGTTCGCTTGTTCCTACGTCTAATGGGGTTAAAAATCAATACACATTTGACTGCAGTCTAGTGCAACTTTACCTCCGTCCCAGCCTTTACGCAAATGATATTAATTGCGCATGAGAGAAATTGGTATACCAGTGGTAGCATTTCCACGAGTATTTGTAGGTATGCTGATTAGGTGCTACATTCCTTGTTGGGAGGCTGCACTACTACCTCCCCTCCCCGGCTAGAACCCGTGTGCCATCTTAGAAAGAGATCTGAATATTGACTTTGAAACTAGGTACGATAACAAGCCCAGTCTTCTACTCAGCCGGACGGGTGTAGTTCCAGCCCTTGAAGGTTGTTTGACCTGCGTGTGATTCACTATGACATTTAGCAGAACTATGCGACTGCTAACCGCAATACCAGCCACTTCACCACCTCCACTTACGAGTAGTATGATATTTTGAAAAAATTGATACACCTTACCAAGTAGTGGTACGTCGCTGAATGACCCTCGTTGACCAGGCACACTTTCCATAGCAAATTTCATCTCGCCCACCAACATCAACAACATCACGGACATTGATAGCAGGGTCATTATTCCTGAAAGGTACCAGATCGAATACTCCCTCCGATTACTTACGCGCGGAGTCATCGAGTAATCTGAGCGAACCTAGTCTGAACTTGCTCTCTCGTCTTCCAGTTGCATTGATGGGAGCATGGAATCCAATGACGGCTACCAAAGAAACCTGAAACAGGATGTGCTCAGCGGCAGGAAGCTCAGACGATTGTCTACTCACCAGTGTTGTAGGAAAGACCAAGTTGAAGACGTAGTAGAAGCTCTGCCGTTTCACATTTAGCCTCATCGAGACCATCGCGACGCTCTCGTTGGAGTTCTCCTGCGATCGGGTGGTGCCATTGCGCAGTCGCGCGTCCATTAGTAGCCACTCCTAAGGATGCAATGCTAATCAGAACATTTGAGCAAATTCTTCTTCTCATACCTGATTGTCATAGAAGTCACCAAGGTCGATCTCCTCCTTGTCGACCAGAAAGTTAACCACATCACTCTGATATGTCCATGAACCACACTGAAATTAGCTGGCTTTTCTGTGAACCTTGGCAACTGCACAACTCAAAACAGCGGTAACAGCCTGAGCTCCACCTGTGACGCCCCTTCCTCTTTCCCTACATATTGCCAAAAATTGCTTACTTCCGAAAGCACGTAGCAGTAGCAATTGATTGTGCTATGTGTAGAGCGCATTGTCATGCTCTGCCAGCCGTCTGACATATTGAAATTGGCTGTTCCTTCTCTACTATTACTCAGTTTTGCTTCTTCTACGTCACCCAAGGAGCCTGTGGGACCCACCAACTCCTCCGTTCATAGTGTAGAAGACAATGCACTTAGCGAAGGCTCCCACAACTCCTCTAACATTATTGGTCAAGCGGCTGCCAGCAAAGCCCGCCGTTCGACGCATGCTGTTTCGTCAAACGGAGCAAATGTGGACAGAATCGAGGACGTTGAAGTTGAGCCTACGCAGTTCGTCATTACAACAACTAAGCAAGGTACGTTGAACAGCAGTAGAACGTTACGTGTGATTGATGCTTTTGTTTGTAGGGCCAGTGGAATCACTGAAGATTCACATCGAGCTGGTCGATCTGCACGACAACCGGACCTTGCCGCCAATAGAACTCTTCGGACTTTTCCTCGTGGTCGCTAGAGGTTCGTCAGATATTGCAGTCTGCTGTTAGGGCAGTTCACCGGAAAGGGAAGCCCAGCTCCCCAACAAATCCCATGCGTGACTGAACGCGTTCACTGTTCCTGAGGGGAGGTTCACATTGAGAACAACAAATGTGTGACTGAAGGTGGAATTTTTCACAAAATCGAAAATCTCAGAATCATTCTGTACCTCAAGAACATGGAACTGGCGCAGTAGCGCATCAGAAGGACTATGCGTTCAGGTCCCCGACTAAGGAAAAGCTGATATATGCGAATGAGTGCTCATATCGTTTACGGCTGGGGTCATCCTTTATGACAACTGCTCGGTGAAACTCCAGTTCGGGGGGGGGGGCACTCCATTGCTATCTTATCCGTAGTACTCGGGAGCAATTCTTTGGGCTATCGAACACTTCGGACAAGATAATAAGTGAACGACTCATTTCGAGCATACTTTTGATAAAAGGACGGTGATGTCTACTTCACACTACTGCACCATCACTATACACTTTTCTGCACAGGTATCCATACCTGGAGCTCTGCAGAGTTCCATTTCTCCTGGTCGCAGACGTTCCTTTGGTGTCTTGCAGGCGGAATTAAAACTTCAGGTTCTCACACCATTTATAGAGTTACTTGAATAAGTCGATTAAATCGATGTCGTGATGAACCTTTAACTTTATCATTAGATAATAGGAGAAAAAATAGACTATTCCCTCCGACTTGGATGTCACCACAACTGCCTTCCCCTATAATCGGTCTTGATTGCGTACTGGTTGACTAACAATTTTCTCTAAATGAGCCTTTAGTTAGAGGTTAAAATAGCTATTTCATAGTCACCTGTGAGTTTTCTCTACAATAATATGAATCCGTAAGTTCCAAGATTGTCTGAGCTGAGAAATTAGGAGATCTCTAAGGGAGCTCATTCACAGTACAAAATGTATTATAATCATGATTTACACAGGAGACTCCGTGACAGATAACGAACGCTTTGGATAATGATGTAAGTGAGCAGTATTCCCAATGTGGTAATCACAAACATGGCTTATGAAGAAGATATAGACAAGCTATGATAAAGGTTATCTATAAAGATTAAATGAATCATCTAATGCTCGTCAGCTTCTCTTGAAGTAGCCGACGAAAATAAGCGTTCTCGTCCTCTATGTCCATTGGGAGGTTAAAAACGCGAATGGCGCAGGGTTTTCCGTTCAATCCGTGTGCGGAAGTCGACCAGACGAGTATCGGTCGAGCGTTGAGGCCGTCGGACATTTATTGTTCTATTAGCGAGAGTTCTGTACTACGAGCAAAATATCGCGAAAGATAACGGGGATATTTAGGCCCTCTGGTATGTTTACGGATCCTAGATCATTATGGCGTCTCGAGATTATATTAGTACGTACGTATTAATTCATGATTCATATCCTGTCAAATATGTTTTTCGCTCAGTCTCTAATAGATTACAGATATACTTCTGTGTAGATTCCTACTAACACTCAAGAAGTTTATTAATTTAAAAACCTCTGCCAGTATTATAACGGAAACTGAGAGCACGGTCTTAGTTGATCCGAAATGGCAGTTATCCATCAGCGGCACAACAAAACTCCACCGTGACGATCTCGATCGTAGCCATGGCCATCTCTAATCAGATGGCGGGATCAGCATGCGAGGAAAGCTTTGGGGTTTATCGAGAGTAATCCATCTTTTTAAAGCAAAAATTGCTTAAGTTCGGCGATTTCAACTTTGGGCGTAACCGCAGGATATGGGGGCATCGTAGGACTTAACTTCGAGTGGAGGAACTTTATGGCACAAATAAAAATTGCCACAATTCTGGAATCTCTTACCCGCTTAAGGCTTGTTTCCGATCTCAAAGGAAGAGTTTATATATGCGGTTTCAATGCATTGACAGCAACGATGCTGCGCTATCATTGCACTCATGCGCCTTATTTTTTTACTAAAAGAGGGCCCTAGAATTCCTGAGCTGAATGCTGTATCCACACCGCTGTAATTAGCCAGCTTAAGGTGGTGCCTAGTAGTCAAAATGTAGAGTAAAATTTACGAAGAATAGGGAAAATTTTCAAATTTTCAATTATCCTCAATTATTTCGACAGTTTCTTTTTTCTTTGTGTTACAACCATGCAAGATAAATAGTGACATCACTTTTGTTCCCTATGCACTTGAAAACATGGGTAAGGGGAGTGAGGGGGGCTTTCATTGAAATGTAGCCTGATTCCAATTGTTCTAACGATAAGAGGCAGAGTCTTAGTGCTCCTTTTGTAAGCCGTGCTCAGAGTGAGAATTTCCATTCCGGTCTCGTCTTACCTCAGTATGCGAATACTCCGCACAACAGTTATGGAAGAATGATCGAAATTAACTATTTGAACAGCGGTCCCTGAAGAAAGGAAGATTGCTGAAGGGTCAGCCTTGAAAAAAATCGTTGTGGAAACACTAGACGTGGGAAATCCAACGCCCGTAAAGCCATGCTATCAGGTTTAGAATTTCGTGTACGATTCCCCACGCCTTCTTCCCACGTCTCCCAACGCTAATGTCGACATCGCATATTTCTGTAGAACTTGTGGAGAGCAGAAATTATTTTTTTCCGGTTAAGGTAGAATTTTGAAAGAAAGAGATCACCCAATGATGTACGCAATAAAAAGAGCACGGTAGCGCCACATGAGAATGTTTTGAGGACTTCATAAAAAGACATTTCGCCGAAATAATGGGTAGGTCCCGAAGGTATACCCCACAATTGGGTAAATAAATAGTGCGAATGTGCTGAAAATAAGGATGTGTCGTAGACGACGTATGAGGTGTCATTATTTCAGAGGTGTCCTGGAAAAACTAGTAAGACCAAGGCGGCCAACCGCTGGTCGGTCCGCCTCTCAGTGAAGGTGGTTGACGGTGACAGGGTAGCTCGTCCATGTGGAAGATGACAAGAATATGATAAGAGGATAAGAGATAAGATGAAGATGGGGATCGGGAGTGAAAGTGAAACTTACCACGAAATTGGGATAGTGGACTGCATTCGAGTGCAAATCAGCTAAGCAGCGTGAGTTGAAGGCCGCATCGATTGTCGACAATATCAACACAAAAGATGAGAGAACTTGTCCAGACGCGCCCTTTCCCCGTCCAAGTTCCAAAAACTGTGTATTGAGTATACGAATGCAGGAGATCTTCACAAAGTGGGACCGGACCGGTGCTTTCGTTTTTCTTCACATCCAGTCCACTTCACAACTACCTCCATTTTCAAGTGCTTTACCACGATAGGGTGGAAGCGGTGTTGTGTCGAGTAGCGCTGCTTGCCACGCGCGCGATTCGGGGATCGAATCCTGGATTGTGCCTCGCCCGGGCCAACCAAGCTTTCCATCCCTCCGGGGTCGATCAATTGGTACCAGATTGGTGGGCAAAAACACTAACTCGTACATCGGCTGGCCCCCGCAAGTCATTTTATAGGCCACATCGCATTCAAATTGCCACTGCGAAGGTTGTCGGAAAAGTCTTTGCGCATTTGGCAACTTCTTTTCGAAATTGTTTTTCTTCTTTAGTGCAGCCAGCAATTGGTGAATACATACACCACCATAATCGTTGAAACATTGCTCTTCAGCAGGCAGCTTCAGGTTGCCGACCGTTCAGAAATCCCGGGTCTTTGGGGCGAAAAGCTCCAAGAGGTTGATTCCGAGTAGGTCCGGATCATTGAACTGCCCCTAATTCAGTACCTTCAACGGCAACAAAAACATGTGGTAGCCCGTCTCTACCAAGTTTGTTGTACACACGAAGTGGGTCAGATCATTCTATAACGAGCCTGGAGACCTTTCCTGAACCTTCTTCGTAATTCGTGGGCGAGCGTTGCCGACATAAAGTAGAGTTTCTCCGATTTTCCGAGCACCATGCCGGGAGACCAATCCACTTGCTAACACTATTGTTCACCAATACCAGTGGACTTCGTTGGCAGCAGCTCTCTGTGAGCGAAACATTCGCAGCCTGAAGAGGTTCTAATGTTACCTCCCAAGTTACTGTTCTCTTATCGGTGTGACGATCCTTTGTTCTACGCATCCAAGGCAGTCGTGCTTTCGCGTGCGGTTTACCTGAGCATCCCACTTCTTGATACCACCAACAAAGTTGGTGGATTAAGTGAATGACAGGCGGCAAATCAAAATGTTCTTGCAGAATTTAATGGTCTCAATAGCCTGGAGCCAGTCAGATCTCAAAATCCGTAAGTTCCAAGATTTCTGTGAGAGACGCTCGTCGAAAAGGCTCATTCACACGTTACAAACTTGCCTATAACACTGATTACACAAAGGAGAACTTCTACCTGAAAAAATCGAAGGCTTTGGGGTATAACTTAAGTGAGAATGTCCGAAAATCGGTGGTAACTCCCATGAAACACACGCATGGCTTTTGAAGGAAGTTTAGACGAGTTTACAAGATGAAGCTTTTTTAGAAATATTAAGATCATCAGCATGCTCGTCAGCTTTCCTCTTGAGGTACTGAACCGAAATAAAGCGTCTCCGGTCCTCTAGTCCATTTGGGAGGTAGAACGCGAAGTGGCGCAGGGTTTCCGGTCAACCCGTGGGCGGAAGTCACCAGCGATTCGGAGCGTTGAGGCCGTCGGACATTATTGTTCTATTAGCGAGGTTCTGTACTCGAGCAAAATTATTGCGAAAGCATAACGGGGATATTTAGGCCCCTCTGGCTATGCATCTACGGTCCTAATGCATGTATGGGTCTTCGAAATATATTGAGCACATTCGTATTAATTCACTGATTCCATATCCTGTCAATATGTTTTCCGCTCAGCTACTAATGGACCTAAATATACCTTCCTGTGGTGATTCCTACTAAACACTCAAGAAATTTATTAATTTGAAACACTCTGCCAGGATATGTATAACGGGAAACTGGGAGCACGGTTCTAGTTATCCGCAAATGCAGTTTCCCATCAGCGAGCACAACAAAACTCCACCGACAGCCGATTCGATAGGCCTGCCATCCTACAGATGGCGGGATCAGCAACGCGAGAAGCTTGGGTTTTCGAGAGAATTCCCATCTTTTTAAAGCAAAAATTGCTTAAGTTCTGCGATGGTCAACTTTCGGCGTAACCGCAGGATATGGGGGCATCCTCTAGGACTTAACCTCGGAGTGGGCAGGAACTTTGGGACAAATAAAAACTGCCCACAAATGCTGGAATCTCCCTACCCCGCTTAAGGCTTGTTTCCGATTCTAACAAGAAAGAGTTTTATCATGCGGTTTCACATGCATTGCCAGCACGATGCTGCGCTATATTGCGACAGCGCCTAATTTTTTTTACTAACAAGTAGGCCTAGAATTCGCTGAGCTAGAACGCTGTATTCCACCCGCTGGTAATTAGCCAGCTTACCACGTGGTGCCAGTAGGTCAAAAGGTAGGGTAAAATTACCAGAATCGGGAAAATTTCAATATTTTCAAGTCTCTCCTCAATTTTTTCTACAGTTTCTTTTTCTTTGTGTTACAACACCATGCAAGATAAATAGTGACTCACTTTTGTTCCCTATGCACATCTTGAAAACATGGGGTGAAGGGGGGAGGGGACGGGGAGTGAGGGGGGCTTTCATTGAAATGTAGCCTGATTCCAATTGTTCTAACGATAAGAGGCAGAGTCTTAGTGCTCCTTTTGTAAGCCGTGCTCAGAGTGAGAATTTCCATTCCGGTCTCGTCTTACCTCAGTATGCGAATACTCCGCACAACAGTTATGGAAGAATGATCGAAATTAACTATTTGAACAGCGGTCCCTGAAGAAAGGAAGATTGCTGAAGGGTCAGCCTTGAAAAAAATCGTTGTGGAAACACTAGACGTGGGAAATCCAACGCCCGTAAAGCCATATACAGGTTTTGAATTATCAACGATTTCCCACGTCTTCTTCCCGTCTCCAACGCTAAATGTCGACATCGCATATTTCTGTAAACTTGTGGAGAGCAGAAATTATTTTTTTCCGGTTAACGACGTAGAATTTTGAAAAGAAAGAGAAACCCAATGATGTGACGCAATAAAAGGAGACCGGTGCTCAATATGGAGAATGGTTGGAGGACTCACTAAAAAAGACATTTCGGCCGAAAATAATGGGTAGGTCCCAAAGTATACCCACATTGGCGTAAATGAAAGTAGTGCGAATGTGACTGAAAAGATAAGGGTGTGCGCTGACGACGATGCAGGCTGATCGATATTTCAGAGGGGTCTTGAATTGGAAAAACCCTAGTAAGACCAAGGCGGCCAACCGCTGGTTCGGGCCGTGCCGCTCTGCAGTGAGGTGATTGACGGTGACAGGGTAGCTCGTCCCGGTGGAAGAGATAAGAATAAGATAAGAAGAGAAGAGAGGAAGATGAAGAAGAAGAAAGAGATAAGAATGAAGATGGGGTGGTCGGGAGTGAAACGTAATATGGTACCACGTGGCGATTTAGTGGACGTTGGCATTCGAGCGCAAATCAGCTATAGTAAGCGTGAGCTGAGAGGCGAATCAATTGTTGGTCAAAAATATCAACCCAACAATATGCAGAAAAACTTGTCCAGAGCGCCCTGTTTCTCGTCCGAGGTTAAAATGTTGTATTGGAATGCGGATACAAGAGACCTTCGCAGACGAGACCGGTAAGCTTTCTTTTCTTCTTCTGGGCACTCAGTCTATGTACTTCGCCGCTTACTCAATTTCAGGGCACATTAACACGATACGAGTGGAACGGAATGTTGTAGTGTCAAGTGGCGCTCCGGTATTGGGGACAGGGTCGATCGTCCTAACGTTGCCGACAAGTTAGCAACGGCGGGGTTTCCTTGTGATGAGTTTAGCCAGGTCGGTCTACGTTGCTAAGTAGGCAACGGGGTTTCTATTTTGATGAGTTTTTATGGGTGAGGGGGTCGGATATATTTTGATGAGTTTGTGGTGTGAGCAGGGTGGGGGGTCGTATTATTAGTACCGGATATCTTAATGTCGTTTTCTGCAGTTCAGGATGTTTCCGGCGTGCCAATTACGTGAAAAATCAGTTTCTCAGAAACGTTCTCTTTGCTTAATTAATACTAGTAACATGTCTGCTTATTAGTCCCATTGTTAACTTACCATTTATCTCTCCCCATTTTTATACCTTTTTCTGAAAATTCCTGGGTATCCATTGACGCAAAATTCGTATGTGATAGTACCAAATGCCATCAAAGTCGGCTGGGAGCTACAGATCCGCCAACAACTAACATTGCATTTTGTTGGAAAGGAATACTCCGTTGGAAGGCTCAACGGTTCTCACTCAGGTTTCCTAAAGGGCGTGAAGTGTTGAAAAGATGCCGGCAATCGCTCTTTCAAAAAGATGGCCCTGTTAAGCACAAGCTGGAGGGGCGCCACAGACTGGTGTGATGAAATCGGCTAGGATATTTTCACTCTTCAAATGGAATGATGATGGCGCACAGCATTCCTATGGATTTGATTCCGCAGCAATATTTTATAAATGTGTTTCACTGCCCTCAGCAGGAGCTCAAAAAGGGATGCCGTTTTTGCACCGCTAGTGTTGCCAAAAAAGTCTCCATAAAAAACTGCCCGCGTAGGACTGATAAGTTCTAATTTTTCTGTCGTGGCGAGCAGACCTACGCGGAACCAGCTGTACACTTCGTTTTGTGCAGGGCCTTACTTTAACGCAGAGTAACAGGGTCATATTGATTTATAGGATGTCAAATACCGACCTGCCTATACTTTTAAACCCAAAAAAATTCGAGCTCTGCGATTCGGGCAAGGTTGCCACTTCGATGTTAGATGAGGGGATCCTAGTAATCATTTTATGATTATAAACTAACTCCTCCCGGGTTTTGAACTGAAATATTTGCTTGGCCAATTACTCTTTGGTGAAAAAACGACATTAAGGTATGCGGTACCTAATATTTTTTGATGAGTTGTAGACGGCGAGGGACGTAACTTGCTTCGTTTGTAAGAAGTTGCATGAGGTGAGGAGGATAGGGGGCGGGAGAACAAAATTGCCGCGTTTCTACCTCCCAGCGAGAAAATGAAAATGAAGGCGTGGGATTAAAGGTTACGGAGGTCGGTTACAAATTGAGCTGGAAATTTATGTCTAAATTTCTTCAGAGTGACTATATTACCCCACTTATACCGACGGCACTTATTGGGGGAAAAAGTGGGCGGAGTTTAGTGAGTTGAGTGATACTCTAGAATGAAATTACATATAGCGAGGAATATAGTGCTCCTCAAGGGTCGGAGAGGGGGTCGTTACCAAATCACTTTGGAAGGGGAAACCCGGTAGTAATTTTATTCGAGAAGTAGCAAAGGCAACGAATAGCGACGACCCTGTTTGGGAGCGATCGTGGATGGGCTAGTCCGCGAGCCAACCAAGCTTTCCATCCCTCCAGGGTTGATCAATTACGGTACAGATTGGCGTGAGGACAGAGAACACTGATTTTTAAACATTGCGTGGCCCCTGAATTCATTGCAAGATGAACAAGAAAATGCGCAAGAACTTTTCCGACAACCTAAATACATATGGAAGTGAAATGCGTACTGCCTCCCAAAAGGGGAATGATCAACAACGAACTTTATCCTGCTTAATTTACCACAATAAATGATGGCGTGCCTTCGAATGCTCTCGAGGTGTTCAATTTCATGTTAAAAAGTTCATGTTAAATGTTGCTAATTTTGTTCATCTACGAGTCACAGATTGACGTTATTTTGCCCTTAGAAAAACTAATTGGATTGAGGACTGAAATCTTAAAAGCCTTTAATGAAGCCTTGGTTGTGATTTTCTCATGAGAAGCCCTATCTTGATGACGTGAAGGAAAGAGAACGTGACGAAGTGAAGGAGAAAGCATTACGGTAGTCTCCCAACGCGAAAAACGAGGCAAATAACTCATAAGCGACGAATATGACTGAATGCAACTGTTCCTACAGCTGCATTGCTTTTTCCTTTAATAATGAATTAATTTGTAACGTTGAGTTTTATGATAACAGCGATGTAATTGCGACGAATTTTCTCTACTAGCTTTCGCCACGTGCGGTAACAAACAATGCGATTGATGTTCAGTGGTCTGCGCGATAACCTCACAACTAGATGAACTCCGGGCGCAACCGATAAAAGGGCAGTAAACATTATTTTTAGCTCATTGATTTGTTGCTGGGTGAACTTTCAAGTGAGACTGATAATGATCACAAGAAATGCACGTAACGGTGAAAGCAAACATAGTCACGTACTGATTTCAGGCCGATACACCATACCGTTTCTGAAGCCCGAAAGATGGTATGGGCTGCGATTTAAAAGTGAGAATGAGGTGAACGGGGAGACTAATGTTCATACGGAGACTCGCCTACTACGAACAGCAAGCCGACAGCAGACCAAAATCACGCCGAATCAGTTGTACCAGGTATGTGTCAAAAGTATGCTCCTATATAACATTGAAAGTACCAGGCGAGAAAGAGGAAGAAGCTCCAAAAGCCTCGTCTTTCTTCTTGCCAGCCCTATTTCGATTTCCTAACAAGCTTATTACCTTTTTGCTGATTTTTTCTCGCACTTAATTTCCACAATCATTCCAAATATAACGCAAGTGTTTTTGAATATGAAATTTCACCAATGTGAAGGTCTCCTTTCTAAGAACATACAGCAATCACTCAGCAGGTCCCAACTTACATACCGTCTTCAGGTCCTGATGCATCGTAACCTTGATGGCGAAGAAAGTGCTGAACACCTGTACGTGACGTCAAAGTGGTCAGGGCAAGAGCGGTGGGTGTCGACATTCGCAAGTAAACAGAGACAACTTTGACTGTTAATTCTTGCAGGGTGCCTAACGGTGAATTGCATGTGCATGTGAAAGTGCACTGCGAATCATCTTCGACCACCGAGCAAATGGTCCTCCACGGGAACGAGGATTCTATCACCATTGAAATATCTGTGAGTTCAAGCGCGTAAGAATTATATTCCAGAAAAGACGAGCCACATTCAAAAAAAAAATTTCGAAAACCCACGGAGGGTGCAGCCCGGTCTCACTCGTAACGGCGGCGTTTGCAATGAGGAAATTGAGACCCAACAAAATGTTTGAGATGATGTGAAAAGCTTTCAATGCTGACACAATTTGGCGATGCTCCAATTACCGAGAAGCAATTTCCTGAATGGCTTGTGCATTACATAGATCATTACTTGAGGCCTAATCGGCAGCCAATGTCGTGTAAGGGATTCCCTTTGATCTGCGGGATAGATCGCTAGAGAGCAGTCCCGATGTGGCACCTCCGTGATTGGAAACGTGTCGAAAAGGTTACTAAGGCCTGAAAGCGGCTTCAACAGCTTCAGTTTTCCCCGTCTGCAGCAGGCGGTTGTCTGACATCTTATCATCTGTTGTGCACTCTCTTGTCACGCTCTCGTCTTCACGTTCACTCTCTCATTCCCTAGCAGCACCACATTACAAAGGTAAGCAAGCCCTTGAGAGCGTTTTCGACGATTTCTTTGTCTCTTATCTCTACTGCTGGCCCATTTCGCACCGACACGCACACATACGTGGGCAAGAACGACACCAGTTTGATCCAGGGGCACGCAGTTGAAGGATAAAAAGGATGAAGCATTTTCCGTTGATCAATCCCTTTTTAAGATGCGGCTCTCATTCCACTTCTATTTGTATAGGTCGGTCCATAATTTTTAAGAGACGCTTTTACATGTATTGGTGTAAAAATCTTTCGATAAGTAATAAAGCTTCTTAAGATGTCCTGCAAGTTAGCACGCAACTTCACCTATCCGACAGGCTAGCCATCTCGTTTGCTTGTTACTTCCTAGCTAAGATTCCAATTTCTTTGACAACTACTTTTGAGCCTCTTTCTTCATGACTTCAGATTAGGATCTTCCATGCGCCAAGCTATATAGAGGATTAATCAGAAGACAGTTGAGGGCACACTCTCTCATTCCACGGTGCACTGGTGGTTACCTCTATTTAGTCTTCCCTCCCTTTATTTGAATTATCCACACTCCACCCACCCCCTGACTGGAAATCTCTATGCTCTATCCGGCGCCTTTGGAAAGGAATCTGAGCAAAGTGGGCGCTATTTGTCAAGCGCTTTTAATGTTACAATGTGATTGTACCGGGACATCTCGATCAAGTCGTTAAGGTTTGAATATGTGGAGCCTGTCTCTCCCATGCTCTGAGTCCGAATCAGCTCTGGACCAGATCTGACATCATCATGTTCCCACTGGGTTCCCATAGTTCTTTCGAATAACTATTTACCATAGTCACCGGCGATGGGGACTGGGTGCAGCGTGTTAACAAATGCACAAGCCGCAGTGGTTTGGCTTAACCGATTCGGTAGTTCCGACAGCAAAAGCCAAATTCCCTCTAAATTCGAACTTTCTCAGTCGTTGGGGGAATACGAGAAAGGCTTTGCGCAGGGAACCGGCACCAACTAATGCCAGTGTCAGTGACGAAGATAGTGGTCTACAGCTTGGTGGCGACGCCTTCAAATTGAAAGCAAAGTAAGGCAAAATTTAATTTTTTCTGAGATCGTTCGAGTCCACCTTGCTAAGAAATTTCATAAAAAATTGGAGACCCTCGGGCGGTCAGTCCTTTCAGCTCCGCCTTGTAGCACTAACCTTGTGCCAACGAATCACTATCCGCTCTATTCACTGAATCACCTTCTACAGAAGAAATTTCACTTGAATCACTATAATGTCAGAATCGACATCTAATTTTTCTTCGATCAGAACTCCATGAAATTCTATAAGAGATACACTGAACACCTACCCTTGCATTGGTGTTATGTCGGTAATAATGGTGAAATATACCGTACTGAATAAGTACATCAGAGAAATAAGATAAGTAATTAAATCGAAAAACATCAAAGGTTCTCAAAAATTATGGACCGTCCTAATACATTCGCAGGGCGCTTGAAATCTATTTGGCCCACAATAACTTTCAACTTTTACATGTACAAGCCAGTGCCTTTACCCTCCCAGGCAAGTCTGGTACCAATTGACTAACCTCAGTTAATAAAATGTGATGGAGCATTACACATGGTTACTGGTGACGGGGCATGAATAGCCACCAAAAATTTGTGAAGCATGCACTTGTTCTTGTGTATGATCTTGAGGTGAGTGAGGTGAGCAATGTAGAAAACACTAGAGGATAGGAAGAGTTCCCGGTAATCAACTAATTCACAATTAGGCCCTGATAAGTGCCAGATAGTTAAATGTTCCCAATTTGAGCTACAGTGAGATCAGCGGATAACGTATCGTACCCTACTCAACAGAATGACTTTCAGTATCTCTCGTAACGCAATTATTAGGTTGAAGAGAAAGTCCTGCAACGCTTTTTCAATTTTTTGATCTTCATTCTATCTTTTTTGTTTACAACTCCTGACCGGTCATATCATGAGGGGTATGTGACGTTTGATCAAGATTTCACACCTCCGTCTACCTCGCACCTTGCCTCGCTCATATACAGAGTTGCCTGTGGGATGACCTGACTTAATTGCATGCGCTGCCTAATATCCCTTCTCTGTCAAGCAAACCACATCAAAGCAAATCTAAGTCATTAAAAGAAGAACTATCAGAGCCCCGAAGTCGTAAGGTGAGGTGATTTGAGGTGTTATTCAATGAATTAGCTCCCCTGGAGGCGGTCAACGATGCGTACACTTGTGAAACAGCAACCTATCTATGCAAAGAGTATCCAAACACAAATAACTTTTTGCTGAAATAGGTTCTTATAGTTCATCGTTGACCGATGTATTGGGATATTCGGAAAGTTTCCGCCAACTCGACCCTCAAATTCAGAAGCGCATATCTGATTCAAACAATACATTTTGATCGAAGCAAATCACAATCCCTCTACATTCAATTACAAGAGGAGTATTCGTTAAGTTATGATGTTGAAAGTAACGGACTTCTGTAGGCGAAGAAGTCGGCGAAGGTCATTTGTTCATCATGTTGGGTTTCAATGTTTGTCTTTTTCCAAACATGATGTAGAAATGACAACTATCCAAATGGCTGGAAAAGTGATAGTTGGTAGGCAAGAGGGCTAATGTAAAAGATGTTCGCAGCTCAGTGTTGTAGCTCAGTTAGGTAAAAGTGCGAGATGAGGCTGGACATTGAGGAAACCCATCTCAGTCACGTATGATTCAGAAGAGGCTTGTTGAACATTTCCATGCAGATTTAGTTTGATGAATACCCTCAGTTATTGTTTCTCAGTCTCTGTTATCCGACCCTCACCCTTATCTTCTTCGAAGCCTTCATCATCGCGAAAATGACGCTTTGAATCACAACGGGTATTTTGTGGATTCGGGACCAAATGGCATCCCGACTTGCTCCCACACTTTTCCAACCAAATTTGCGGGTAAACAAGGGGGAAATTGGTCAGGGTTGAAGTAATAGTAGTTTAACACGGAGCGAGGAACGCGCTTTCCAGCAGACTCTCGAAAGTCATCCAGAATCGAAGCATTCAAAGTGAGAAAAATCAAAAATAACAAAACTTTCCTAACAACTCAATATTCATTCAGCTCATTTTCTTCCATTGTCACTTCATTTTTCATATGATGCATGTGAAAAGGGAATACCTTTGTATCGGTGAACGCACAGTGGTTCAAGTTTGGCGTACATTTTATTGAAACCCATGGATTCACGCCTGTTGCGATAAATTCCCGTTTTTGTCAATCCCATTGAAATATAGCTTTTTCAGTTATTTTGATGTGGTTTACAATTACAGAGAAAGGTCATCCGGCAGCACATGCAATTAAGTGAGGTCATACCACAGGCAATTCTGCGTATGTGCAAGGCAAGGTGCGAAGTAGACGGAGGTGTGAAATCTTGATCAAACGTCCTACTCCCTATCATGAGCGTCCACCACTCGCCTTCAACGCTCAAAAAATTTCCTGATGCGCCTTTTCCAAAACCTAGTGGAGTGCGGGTCAAGAAAGGAGGCGACCACTTTCGAGTTGGAGTTGATCGTCTAATTATTTCGTTCAAGATGATTATAGGTACAGGATAGGTTGCAGTCTTTTATAGGACTAAGCTGAGAGAGAGGTAAGAAATCTTGCCGCAATTCCAGAATTCCTTACCGAGCTCATTTCGGATCATGGTGATTCGCAATGTCATGAAAGAAATAAATGTTGTCGCGGCACGAGGGCTCTTGACGAGCTGCCTCGACCAACTTCTGGGGTTTCGCAGGTAAACCTCTACCTACACAATGGTGCCCATAAAGAAGAATTTATAGTGGAGCTTCCATAAGAGCCCTATCTGTAATGAAGTGTGCGGGACGCCGCTGGCTTCTTATAAAAATATCAAAAGATCGGAAGCGCTGGTAAAAGTGAAACACGTTGTAGCGGTACAAGACATGCCTTTTGAAGCGATTGCAGATAGTGTTGGTCTTTGACACGAATCCATAGTTATGTAGACATTAGTACTAGACAGTGACTCGGAGAATGGATTTACTAGTGGCGAGGTTTTTCGAATTTTCTTGGATAACTACTTACTGCAGCACTTATATCCACCTCCTGGATTAAAGCCTCGTGAATGCTTTACCATTTGTTAGTCATAAATGTTACCTATGGATTGTTCAAAAAAAAAGAAAATTTTAGAAAGAGTGTCGCAGAACTTTCTTTCCAACCTAATATAGAACTACATATTTACGGCACCCTACCATTGTTTTGAAATTCCCAAGTACTTGCACTACCTAAAAATCACGGAAAAAATATGAACATCGCGCTTGTCTGGTTGAAGATGCTCTGATTGCAGGCTTGGTTGTCTATTGATAATAGTTATCTCCCCTGCTTACCCATGCAGAAGAAGTCATGAACGGGAATGACTCTTTTTCCTCCGCTTATCCTCGCTCAAAGAGAACAATTCGTCTTCTCGATGATGGGGCTTCGTTCGATTAGGTTTTACGCAAAATCCATTTCTGTCCTTGATTGTTTAGTCGATAAAGAACTCTAGATGTTGGGCAATCAGTGTTCCGGCAGCAGTGAGTGAAGTGAGTAAAAAAAGGAACAGAAGCCAGTCGGAACATTCTTTAATCGCACTTTCATGCTTCCCTCTGGCTATTCCAACGATTCCATTTTTTAATAGCGTTACTCTACTTTTTGCACTTCAGATGGATCTTCTCTATGATATTGAACACCTCAACGACACTTTACATCAGGTGCTGGCTCATATCAGTCCGCTGAGATGCCAACAGTAAGCACATTATATTCTCAACAAATAGGTTTTTTCTGATCACTGTTATATTTCAGAGTCTGCTGGCACAGCTTTTTGTTGGTTCGATCAGGATCCACCGACTACAGAGCCGATGCGCCACAAGAATGCCGTGATATTGAATCGACTACTTCGGTTACCTATTTAAGACACATGAAACAGTATGCGGTTAGTTGAAGTCACAATGGAGGGTTGAGTAGCCAAATCTCTGGAAGCTCTGGCAGAGTTAAAGGAATGTTCCGCGGAAAAAGCTCCGCCTCCATTACCACAGAAAAACGTACCCTTTTTCGCCTTAGCCTAATGAGCGAAGCGAAAAGAACGGATCATAAGCGTTAGTTTCGATAATACTATTCCTACATACAAGACAAAATGATCACTCTTCCGTGGAAGATTCCTTTAAGGTATCGTTTTCTGTGGTAACGAGGGCGGAGTTTTTCCCGTGGAAGATTCCTTTAACGATCAGAAGGAAGCCCGTAAGATTAAAGGTCGAGGTGTCAGTGGTCCGAGATGAACAAAAAAATATGAGAAACAGCCTATACCGAGATGGTACGCCTTTTCTGCTCATTAATTCGGCATATTCCGGCAACTCTCATCAGTGGTACCCTCTTCAACGCTGACGCTATGCTAAACAGCTAGAAATCTGCAGCGAGTGGTTAGCCAGTCGGTGGGTGTGTCTCCCTATAGCGGCCCGGGGATGGCCTTGCTAGACTGCCCGGGGCATATTCTTCGCTGCGTGTTGATCCACACTCTTTGCGTTCCGCCTGCTTATCTACTACGTTTTCCTTCTTCGACTTCCGACCTTATCGTGAAATCCTTTATTGAACGCATGGTTTGTCCTTGCATTCCTGATAGATAACCAATGGCGTCAAGCATAGCTACTACGTGGTGAGAAAATTTGACCGATACGAGCTCATCCCCCTAAAAGTCATTTAAACAATATAGTGAATAATCTAAAAATGTTTAAAACTTCAACCAAGTGTTAGTTCTCGCTACACGACTTTCACTTTCATTCATAAGACCCGCCCGTGAATGAAAGTGAAATTCGCTTGACGATTTTGGATAAGGGAAATCTCAACCTATTCATAGTTTGATGAGCTTTAGGAATAAATCTGTTAGAGGCAGCTGACACAGTCGCTGAGAATCAGTCCCGTTTACGTCCTTCAAAATTTAGGATAATTTGTCGTGATTTCCACAACCGTTTAGGTCGAAAAACACTCTTCTGGTTCTGAACTCGTTGTGGAAACGGAACTTAACGAGAAAACCGAGGAAGGATTCGTTACTCTGTCCGCGCTGAATTTGGCAAAAAATGACACCAAACCTAAAACGAAAACATTCAGGTAGTTATTGGTCCAATGAATCCTTTCCGCCCTCCAAGATTTTCCGGCTTTCCCCTATCTCGAGATATTTTCAGCACATCATCCTCGAATGGCACATTTCATCTTCCACTCTCGCCAGACGCTGTCTACGCCGCTCAGTACCAATACACAAAGGTCAAGCCATTCCATTTTACCATGAAGGAGCATTTCCTCATTGAAACGGCCTCCTTTTTTTACTGGCACTTCACTCCTGCTGCCGAAACACCTGACTGCCCAGTCATTCTAGAGTTCTTGCTATCGACTAAACATCACGAAAAATGTATTTTCGTAAAACCTAACTCGAACGAAGCCAACATCATCGAGACCACGAAATGTTCTCTTTCGAAGCGAGATAACGCGACGAAAAAGATCATATTCCCGTTCATCGACTTGCTCTGCCATGGTAACTCAGGGAGATAACTAATCCAAGTAGACAACCAGATCCTGCCATCAGAGCATCTTCACCAGACAGCGCGATTGTCCATTATTTTTTCGGTGATTTTTTAGGTATCGCAAGCACTTTGAGATTTCCAAAACAATGTAGGGAGTGCCGTAAAATATGTAGTCTATATAGGCCTTGCAAAAGTTCTCACAGCTCTTTCTAAAATTTCTTTTTATTGACAATCCCATAGAACATTATGACTAACAAATTAAAGCATTCACGAGGTCTTTAATCCAGAGGTGGATATAAGTGCTGCAGTAAGTAGTCTATCAAAGAAAAATCTCGAAAATACCCTCGCCAACTATTAAATCCTTCTTCCCGGTCACTGTCTAGTACTTACTGTCCTACATAACATGGATCGTGCAAGAGACAAAACTATCTGGCAATCGCTTCAAAAGCATGTCTTGTACGCTGGCTACATCGCAGTTTCACCTTTTCCCCACCGCTCCGACTTTTATATCTTATAAGAAGCCGCGGCGTCCGCACACTTCATCTACGATACGCGGCCTATGGAAGCTCCACTATAAATTCTTCTCTTACGGCCCCATTGTGTAGTAAAGGTTTACCCTGCGAAACCACCAGAATTTGTCGAGGCAGCTACGTCCCCAACGAGCCTCGCTGCCGCGACAACATTTATTTCTTTCAATGACATTCGCGAAATGCCACCAATGAAGCCGAAATGAAAGCTCGTAAAGAATTCTGGACCTCTGCGGCAAAGAATTTCTTACCCCTCTCTCTCAGCTTTAGTCCTATAAACGACTGCAACCTATCCTGGTACCAATAATCATCTGAACGAAATAAGTAACTCTGCAACTCTCCAACTCGAAGTGGTCGCCCCTTTCTTACCCGACCTCCACTAGTTTGGAACAACAGCGCATCAGGTAAATTTTTGAGCGTCGAAGGCGATGGTGGACGTCATCGATAGGAGTATGACCGTTGACGACCGATTTCACACCTCCTCGGTCTACTCTCGCACCTTGCCTTGGCACATACGCAGAAACTTGCCTGTGTATGACCTCACCCTAATTGCATGTCGCCGATACCCTTCCTCTGTAATTGACTTACAAGCTAACTCGCACAGCGTCTTAAGTCTATCAAAAGTAAAGCTCCGTACAAAGCTATACTTTTCATACGGAATAGGAGACAAAAACGGAAATTGATCGCAATCAAGCGTGACATGCCGAGATGGTGGCATTTTAATAAAATCTATGTGCACACTCATAAACTGTGGCGAACCGGCAACTGGCGCTCACTCGATAGCAACAGAGTATTTCCCACTACAACATGCAATACTCCTTATGGGAAGAAACTGACAGTGACATTCATCGTAAGATAGAACAGTAGCTGAAGAATAATCAGCGTTTTAAAACGTTGTTACTTTTCAGATTTTCTCGAACTGAGCCGTCTATAGAGCGTGAGATAATGCCTCAATAATATACATGAGATGACTTTCGAGAATGCCCCTGGTATCTCGCTGTAAACGCCGCGTTCGCCTCTACACGAATCCTGCCTCACTATTTAAACACTCACATGCTTAAATTTACTCACCGCGTGTGAGACCAATTACACCAACTGTTGCTTCAGACTTGGAGGGCCATCGTAACGCCAAAAGTGTCTGGTTGGAAAGAGTGCAGAGACCGCACGAACCCTGGGATGCCCAAAGTTGGCCCCCCAGGCACTTTCACAAAACAAGCTCTCCGATTCTTATTCTGCACTTCAAGGCGATCAATTTTCGCGATGGCAGCAAGAGTCTGCTCTGAAAAAAGGCCGACTGATTGAAAGCAGCAGAACTCAAGGAAAAAATAACGCCGGTGGTGGCGGCCAAAAATCAATTGAGAGGCGAATACTTAAAAGTCCCTGACATGAACATTTCAATCCGACCCCAGCCTCTTCCTGAACTCAATTACTACTGAGAGGGTTCATCATTTCCCAGACCCATCTCGCATACCTTTTACCTAACTGAGCTAACAACACTGAACTGCGGAACCATCTCTTTTACAATCCTCTCAGCAACAACAACGAGGACACACATGCAACTGTCACAGAAGAGAAGAACTTACGACTATAAATCTACGGCGACGGCTGCCCAGATTTTTAACTCATACAGATACACTAGTTCGGACATAAGTCTGGACTTATTGAGATAAACCAGTCTCATCACGTATGATTCAAAAGCTTTGTGAGAGCATTTCACACTGCATTAAGTTCATTGTGAATATTCTCATCCACCCAGCCGTTACTGCGTACTTTCCCACGCTCTGTGGAGATCCTCGCACGCATACACCCTTATCTATCTCGAACCCTTCATCTAGCATCGCGCCGCGAGAAAACACCGCCTTTGGACCGCAGAACGGGTATTTCGAGTACAGCGCGGAAGCGGCAAATCCACTGCACCCGACTTGCTCCCACAACTTCCAACCAATTTGCGGTAAGCAGACAACTAGGAAATGGTCCCGTGAATAAATAAGTTTAACACGGCCCGAGGAACGCGCTTACCTAGCACAGCATCTCCGACAAAGCCATCCCCAGAATCTACATTGCATGCACCGAAGAGAAATAATCATAATAAATTAAGTAAGAAACTTTCACTTAAACACTCATATTCATTCAGCTCATTTTCTCCCCTTGTCAACTCATTTTATAATGATGCATGTGTTAAAAATGGATACCTTGGTATACTGTCGAACACATTAACAGTGTTCAAGATATTGGCGTCACATTTATTGAAAACCGCAACTGCCCACCTGGATTCAACGCCTAGTTGCGATTAAATTCCGTTTTTGTCAATGCCCTACATTGAAATATCACGCTTTTCCCCGTCATTCTGCCCATATGCAATTTACAATCTAAAGAGAGACGACATGGCCGCGCAAGCACCGCAATAAATATGAGGTCATATCCGACAGCTCATATTCCTGGTCGTTTCGATGTCAAGCAACGGTGCGAATAGACGAGGTGTGAAATCCATGATTCGAAGAACCATCCATACTCCCTTAATCCTGAGCGTCGTTCTGCGTTTACCCACCCTCGCCGTGCGCCACCTACCGACGCTCGCAAACAAAAAGATTTCCTGGCATTGCAAGCGCCGTTTCTCCAAAACCTAGAGTGGGCACGAAGCACGGCGCCACCACTTCAGATGGAGATTTTCGGATTCCTCACATTATCCTTCGGCGTGCCAGCGCACAATGATATCAGGTCACACAAACAACCCGATAGTTACAGTCCCTTTTATAGACATTAGACTGAAAGAGATGTATGTTAATCAATAGAGATGCTGCCTCGCTAATTCCCCAATCCCGTAACGTGACCGTATCCTTCTATTTGCTGATATCACGTGCTTACTAGCATTTTCTGCATATTACTGAAATATCAAATTAAATGTCTGTCGCGCACGAGGCTACTTGACAACATATTCATTTTTAGCTGCTTGGCCGGACGTTACCACCTGCCCCGACCAAAAACTTCTGGTATTCGCAAAGGTAAAAAACCTCTAACGCTATCACCACGCCATAGGTAGCCCATAAAAATAATAAAACCAATTTAATAGGGCTTGCTGTTACCATAATTATGATCCCTTAATTCTTGAAAGTGGAGGTGTGGCAGGACGCCAATTGTACATGCTGTCTAATTAAACAAAGATATTTAGAATATGATGCGCGGAAGAACTGCTTGCGTAAAACACGTGTGCCTATATACAGACCAGTCGTTTGAAAATAATCAGGATACGATAATAGACATGCACTCATTAATGCTATTTTTTGTCTGAATCAATCGGCTCCCTTAACGAAATAACCTTTAATTTAGTGTAGATGCTAAAAAATACATATAGTACTGTAGATCAGTCGAATCGAGAAATTTGGATGTGTTTACGTAGTGGAACACCAAGTTTTTCGGGAATTTCTCTTGGTAAGCGTATTTACTTCAGCCTTACTCTATCAGCTCACTATCTGGCTGCAAACCCTCTCACTGAATTTAAACGATCCGCTAAGTATGCTTCAGCCATATCTCTGAGAAATGAATTAGCTATTACCTCTAGACGATATAGTAAAAAAAAGAATAAATTTCGTAGAAGAGTCGTCGCAGAAACTTTGCTTTAACCCACCTAATCAGAACACATCAGCTTACCGCGCACCCTACATAGTCTTTGCAAATTCCCAAGTACTTGCACTAACCTAAAATTCACGAAAAGAACTTATAAATCGCGCTTGTGTTCTAGCGTGAAGATGGGCTCTCGAGAAGCTGCAAGGCCTTTAATGTCTGTTCTAATTGAATAATAGTCCCACACACCCACACACACACCCATCAGAATGAATCATGAACGGAACCCCTGACTCGTGTTCCTCCGCTTATCCTCGCATCAAAGCAGAAACAATTTCGCTTCTCGATGATGGGCTTCGTTCGCATTAGCGTTTTACGCGCAAAATCAACTTTCTGTCCTTGATTGTTACGTCCGATAAAGAAATACCTAGATGTGCGGCCTAATCCAGTGTTACCGGCAGCCAGTGAGTAAGTAGGTAACAAAAAAGGAACAGAAGCATCGGAACAATTGCTTAATCGCAACTTTCATGCGTCCCTCTGGCTAGTCCAACGATTCCATTTTAATAGCGTTACCTAGCTTTTAAACACAACTTCAGATGATTCTCTCTTATATATTGACATCATAACGCACCTTACATCAGCGGCTCATCCAGTCCGCGAGATGCCAACTCAGTACAGCACTTTATCATCTCAAAACCAAATAGGTCTTTTCTGCTCATTGCGTTATATTTCAGAGTCCTGCTGCACAGCTTTTTGTATGGTTCGATACAGGATCCACACGACTACAGAGCCGATGACCGCAACAAGAAAATCGCCGGATATGAATCGACTACTTGTTACCTCCTTTATGACACCATATCTTTAAAGACTAGTTAGTATCGCGGTCTAGTTGAAGCTCACATAGATTGATTAAAGTAAAGTATCCAAATCTCGAAAGCTCTGCAGAAAGTTAGAAAAGGAATGGTCCACCAAAGGACACCGCTCTTCCGACATTAGCCTCACAGAAAAATCGGTTGATCACCCTTAGGCCCATACTGAAAACTAGACGAAGCGCAAAAGAAAAGCTGGTAAGTCACTAGGTTAGTTCGATAACTACTGCTTAATTGCTCCACATACGTATCAAACACAGCATCACTACTACTCTCCTGTCGGAAGCATGTCATGCCTATAATCGTCAGAGTATTCCATGTAATTTTCTCGGCTAAGGTAAGCGCACCAGACGTAAAGTTTTTCCGGTCCCCCCAGTGCGAAAAGATTCCCTTTAACGAATCAAGAGAAGCCCCCGTAAGATTTAAAGGTCGCAGGTGTTAGTGGTCCGAGATGACACCAAAAAAATATAGAAACAGCCTAGACCGAGATGGTAGCCTTTCTGCTCTCATTAATTCGGCATATTCCGGCAACTCTATCATGTGGTACCCTCTGCAACGCTGACGCTATGCCTAAACAGCTAGAAATCGCCAGCGAGTGGATTAGCCCATCGGTGGCGTGGCTCCCCTATATGCGGCCCGGATGGCCTTGCTAGACTGCCAGGGGCATATTTCTTCGCATGCGTGTTATTCCCACCACTCTTGTTTCCGTTCGCCTACTTAATCTACTACGTTTTCTTCTCTCGACTTCCGCCTCTTATCGTGAAATCCTTTATGAACGCATTGGTTTTGTCCTTGCGATTCCTGAAGATAACCAATGGCGTCAGCCATACGCTACTACTCCGGTGAGAAAATTTGACCGATACGACGCTCATCCCTCTAAAGTCATTTAACACAAATATAGTGAATAATCAAAAAATGCTTAAAACTTCCAACCAAGGGTCGTAGTTCTCGCTACACGACTCTCACTTCATCATAACTACCGCCCGTGACATGAAAGTGAAATTCGCTGCCGATTTTGATAAGGGAAATCTCAACCATATCATAGTTTGATGAGCTTTAGGAATAAATCTGTTAGAGGCAGCTGACACAGTCGCTGAGAATCAGTCCCGTTTACGTCCTTCAAAATTTAGGATAATTTGTCGTGATTTCCACAACCGTTTAGGTCGAAAAACACTCTTCTGGTTCTGAACTCGTTGTGGAAACGGAACTTAACGAGAAAACCGAGGAAGGATTCGTTACTCTGTCCGCGCTGAATTTGGCAAAAAATGACACCAAACCTAAAACGAAAACATTCAGGTAGTTATTGGTCCAATGAATCCTTTCCGCCCTCCAAGATTTTCCGGCTTTCCCCTATCTCGAGATATTTTCAGCACATCATCCTCGAATGGCACATTTCATCTTCCACTCTCGCCAGACGCTGTCTACGCCGCTCAGTACCAATACACAAAGGTCAAGCCATTCCATTTTACCATGAAGGAGCATTTTCTCATCGAAACGGCACCAACGAACAGCAGTAAACCCTCAAATCCACTTATCCACGCCGATTTTCATTCCGAAAATCGTACACGAAATGGCAGTGAACCCCTCCCCGTTCCCCTGGTCACACTCAGCCGTGGTGATGCCTATGCAAATCGAGTGGTGCGGCTACATATGGAGCCATTTTGTGAGAGTAAGCAAAGGTCAGCGTGGACCCTCAGCAGAGCCCATGACAGCCACACCATCAATTTGACCCAAGCCATCTGCTCACATCACGCCACGGCGAGTTATTGTGAACATGAGAAGAACTACACCAAATGCAGTCCCATTTTGTGCTACTCGACGAGCGTCGCAATCGATGGCGATGAATATCCGTCAGATGTGCGCTGCTTCAACGTCACCCAACATTTTCCTCTTCAGTCCCTCGCTTTCCCTCGTACCCGAACCTTCATTGTTTTGCTCACCTCTGTTTTGTTAGTCATTTAACTATTTCCGCATAAATATATTAGTTCTATGAAGTGTGAAAACAAACCGAGAATGAACACGTTTGCGAATCGAAAGGGAAACGCTTGAAGTTGATCGGACAAAAACTCTTGGACGAAATGGAGACAAACATGCGAACACGTCCATCGGCACGAATCTCGGCCGGTGCATCTGGAGCGTATTCTGGCACTCTTCCATAAACACTGCAAAGCGCCGTATCTCTTCTGATGGCTAGACAGTAGCAAGATTCAATTACCTGTGATACATGTAGAATTCAGGTTTCCATATCCACTTCATCGGCACAAAAACTTTTCCGATTCCACCGTAGTCAGTGGCATTCCATACGAGGAACTCGTCCAACCACCAAACGTCGAAATAGGCGGAGACCGTTGCTAAGTTATTGCGCTGATCCTAAATGTCAGAATTAAGTAAGGAGATACCAATTTTATTAGGAGGCGGGGCCGGGTGGGATTAGTTGTTTCGATTTCTAGGAACAGCACTAATAGTTAATTATAAATAATCTTGTTTATAATAATTTTGTATTAATTTTGTTTTATTTAATCTAAATACCCAGTTTCTTTAACACACTGCAGCCCGCGTGCACCTCGGAGTTGCACATCGATTTTAAGCTCTCCTCAATTTTTTCATTGCTACTATGACTATAAAAATTCCACTAGTGCCGTGAATGCACTAAACACATGGCTGTTTTCGATCTCCAATTTCAATGAACTTTTGGAACTTCAACTTGCACCTCACAACCTCAGTTTGCACCATCGTAGAATGTTAAAGGCATGCCCCAGGATCGGCCTGGTGTGCCTCTTGTACACGAACGTGCATGTATCGGTGCAAGAATGAATAAAAAGAGAATCATGTGAAGGAAGACAAAGGCGAACTAGTCGCCGAGCCTAGCAATGAGGGAGCTTGCACTGAAATTTGTTGGCGTCCTGCGGCGAAACATGGATTTCTGTGCCAAGCTGTATGGTCCTGTTAACGATATATCCAGCAAATGCCATTGGATGTGCATGTGTAATCGCGAGCATGCCGCAGGGTATGCACCTATGTAATGTGTGAATGCGCCGAATCAGTGCTGTGGGGGCGTCAGTTGTGGCACGTTGACGACAGCGAGTTCAAGTGCGCTGTCGAGACTTGCGGTAGGCTGGCGCGGTAAACAACGTGTAGCCGATGTCCGGACAGAAAGCAATTTCTGGGACTAAGCTTCCCACAGGAGGGAAGAAAGAAAATTGCTTGTAATACTGTGTCACCAGGCGGTTCGGCGTTGACCATTTGTTCTTTCAACATCGGTCAGAACACTTTCCTTCAAAGGCGAGCAGTGTCGGATGTGCAGAGATAACACAAACTGCGACGGACGCCAAGTTAAGTGATGTAGAGTTGTTTTATAGTGTAGCTGAGTCTCTGTAGATGACCTAGGGTGCTAGTTGGGTTGGGGGGGGACACGCGATACGGCGCGGCGCTCTGTCACTGGCTGCTCTCTCGAGCGAGATAGTGTAAACTAAATCATTCCGGCTTTTCACGGAATATCAGGTGATGCGTCACTCCACCCACCATAGATTGCTAACTTCCCTGACTCAGATTTGAATTGCGGGCGAGCAGAGTGCCGCGCCGCCGCGTGGTGACGCAACCCCTCTTGGCACATGTAGTGAAACTAAGTTGCAGTTGATAGAATAAAACTGGAAGGGTGTTAATTTCACTTGCAGGAAACTTTACTTTTGTGAAGGCCGTCGTCACTTGTGGTTCGTGGTCGGGCACTCGACTATCTGTGGTTTTTGAGAGGATGGTTTGTATGTCTTTTTATTGTGCTTGCGCTCTTCATCTCGAGTTTTTTTTGCATTCTTCTATAGATAATGAAATACCATAACTATAGACAAAATGGCATATCTGCGGTGCGGTCAAGTGATGCCTTGATTTAAGCAAAGATGTTTTGAAAGCACTAATTTTTGTTCATTTTTCGCTCGACTACCACTGTCGCATAAACCTCACCTCTGAAAATGTAAGAGTACGGAGTTTTGGCAGCTTGCCACTGTGGAATCAGTTCGTTGCGGGACCCACGCATTTGCCGACTACCGTAATTTGTTTTGGCGCACGTTCTATTAGGACTGTCATTGGATGGTTGACATTTGGTTTTTTGGAATGATCAATGTTGTTTGCTTCATTCACGGCACGATTTTGCCGGACTCTTACACCTTACAGATGAGTTGGAGTAACTTCGGAAATTTGGGCGAAGATAGATTGGATTGCTTTGCGAAGCCACAGTTTGTGGCACCGTTCGAGTTTCGGGTTTCCAACTCGTGCGACGTACGCTGATAGGATCGCTACAAAGTGTGATAGGTAACACGTTAAGAAACGACAAAATTGATAGCATTAGGGTGCAAATGTCTCACTGGCAACGACAGGCCACAGTTGTGAGCTTGAAATAAGTTATACGGCCCAAATTTACGAGATTTGATAAATTCATAAAGGTACAACTCAAATCACCACATATTTCATGGACCGTAGTAACTTCATCGGATCGCGAGTGAATGGAGTATTGAACTAGGGACCGCGGATCAAGGATTTTGTTGTCTGATTTCCGCGCTCGACAAGATTTTACGACAGATGACGTCATTGAAGTTGCTCTCTTTTCTATACTCTAACCGCAAAGGACAACCGCTCATCACCTAGAAAGCACAGGGGGGATCCGCTACCTGGAGGCAGAGCCATCCATGAAGATAAACGTATCATCGCCTGAGCTGCTCAGAACATACTCTGCTACATGTAGATCGCCTTTTCTTCCATGACCTCAACTCGCTGTCATCTCCACCAAACTCCTTTCGTAACTGGTTCGGTTCGCAAGAGCAAAGGATGCTGATTTTTATTGCCATATATTAGTATGACCATTCTAGAATACAATAGATCGGTTGCACCTGATCACATAGGCTTTTTTCATATTCAGCAATTACTTATTAGTACTTTAACATTACAATAATAAGTGCTAATAATGAGAATATCCTAGTTTGTTAAAGCCAATGTATCATTTCAACTCTCGTAAACGTCAATGCTGTACTTTCCCTTCTTACAAGCTTTGCAGCTTCAAATGTACAGTCCTAATAGGAACGATGCGCCAAAACCAATTACGGTAGTGGCAAATGGCGTGGGTCCCACAACGAACTGAATTCAAACAGTGGGCAGCTTGCCAAAAAACTCGTCCTGCATTTTTTCAGGGTGTAGGTTTAGGCGACAGTCCCTACTACTCCTTTCACTGTCGTAAACATACATATGAAAGATTGTTGAAGCAGTTAATACAAAACTCTTTAGTTTCAAGATATTTGTATTTGATGGAAGATAGGGTATCAATGAATCACAAACAGTCCGATCGCCTCACTGTTGTTCTCGACAACTAGACTACTAGATTACGGCTCTGAAGAAGGCGATCCTCGCCGAAACGTAAGCCCAATAAAAGTTAATTGCCAACCTTGTGAGGAGCTTCAAAAAAAAATAACAACAAGCTACATTGGGTGTTAATGTTTCAACTTCATTCGCAGCGAAAATGATGAATTTTGCTTCTTCGTGGTCACTATACGCTCTTCCAAACAAAAATCTACTGCCATTTATATAGCTATGTTTCATGCTTGCGTCCTTGCCGAAAATTCTTTGAGATTCAAGTTGTTGTGTATTTTGAACAAAAAATAACCGAAAGTAAGGTGCGGACGACGCGCTTGCAAAATCGCTCCTGTCTCACGCGGCCAAAAATGCCGATAAATGCGACGTCGTCACATTACATATAACACATTCATGCCAACGCGCGTTTCTAGCTTTTGGATCGCGTGGGAGGTTTTGGAAGCGCCGTCCTCTCACCCACATCTCTGGATTCTGAAAGTAAATGAACAAAAGCACGCATTCGTCAACGTAAATCCAGTGATGGCCAACATTTAAATGTGATAAGGTTGCATTGTGACGGTATTTTGATTAAAAAGACGTGCAATTGTAATGATAACGCAGCATCTATTAACCCTTGACGACAACGCGCGTTTTGGGTTTTTGCGCCGCGTGGGACCACGGCGATTTTGCAGGCGCCGCCGCCTCACATCAAATCTGTGAGTGAGCTTTAAATACTCAAAACTCGGATGCAACAAAATGTTTAGAATGATATTCGATGTGACAAACTCATCAGAAGGGACAACTGTAAAAATCGAGTTGACGTTTTCCGGCGATGAAAAGGCACGTTCCGGTTGCTTTTGTTATAGTAAACCTCAAAAATACTTTTGACACGATTACTCCACCAAAGACATGTTTCTTGATATATAAGTAGGTTGTACTTACTTTTACTACTCTTTTTATGACCCAGGTTGTCAGAATATAAAGGAAACTAGGAATGAACACAATTGGGATACTCGTAGGGCTTAGAAAACCTTCGCTAAAAAAGAGCATATTCAACCATTCAATGAACCTCGCCGTGTCTAGTCATATTATGGTATAGTCAATGGAATAAATGCAGAAAATCAGAAAAGAAGTAGCGCATGCGCGGAAAAAATAAATATTTCGTGCGTGCAGCGCATGCGCAGCACACGGTCCCACACGGTGCTCAAGATGTGATGCGCATGCGCTGCACAATTTCGTCAACGTGTTAACATTCGTTGCAGTAGGCATCGAAGGCATTTTCTCCTCGATTGCTCCAACAAAATGCTTATTTCATCACTAACCTAGCTAGACTTACTTCCACTACTCTTTCCATTTTCATGTGAAAACAAAGAAAAAGAAGATCAACCGGACCAAAAATTTATAACGGCCCAGAGGACCATTTACTAATTAATATCTATTCTTACAAAGAACCACGATATTCATATTTACTTACAGTTCCCTCCCTACTACATTAATATCGAAGATATCTAACAAAATTATGATGTACAAATGGCAGGCAGTCATTTGATAGGCGGCCGTCAGCATGATATGTTGAAACTAATGGACATTTGAAACTAGTAGGAAACGATATCGAGGTCCAAGACAGTAATATCTTGTTGTTGGAGGCCTACTCCTGAATTTGTGTATACAGCACTCTCACTCCCACTACTGCAAACTATCAGTTATTCATTACCGAGTTTATTATAGCGACATTAATAAAGATTTTTTCCGTGAACACATTTTGTGTGCAATCTTGACGACGCGAAAAAAAAATCAAAGGATAAAAAAGGGTAAAACATTTGCCTTGATCAATCCCTTTTTGGAATGCGGCACGCATTCTACTTCCATTTGTACATTCGCAGTATCTTTTGAATGCGATGTGGCCTATACAATGACTTGCGAGGACCAGCCGATGTACAAGTCAATGTTCTTTATCCTCCCAGACAAGTCTGGTACTAATTTACCGACCCCGGAGGGATGGAAGGCTTGGTTGGCCCGGGCGACTCACGACGCAG